CATGTTGCTTGGTGTGTCAACATGAAGACTTTTCCCAGAGACAGAGTCTCTGACCTGTGACTGTTTTTTATCCAGAGCCAGGCAGCCTTTCTTACACCGGCAGTTCTTTCTTACTGTTTTCTTAATGCATTCCCTTTTCATTCTTCTTAAGTCTTAGATTTGGCGGTTAACCAAGTTGAAAAGGACCCTTCAAGGTCAAAGTAAACAATATTTAAGAAATCTTCTAAAAATGTTTGTTTCAGGAGGAGGGGGGACAAATGGCAGCTGTCTTTGAGCAGGGTTTGGTTCTAATAAGGGGCCTTTTGCAGGATCATACCTAAAGTCATCTGGTCTTGCGCTCCAGCTGGCACTGGTCCCACCTTCGTACCATGAGAACATTGGGCCCATCGAATAAAATTAAGGGAAGACATGCTTTTGAAATGCCAAAATAGATGCAGTGAAAGACTTATTTGGTATGACCTGTTCTAGTGCTGACAAGCTATTTTCTTACTGATAACCTACCTTGTGTGGCCTGAAAAACATGTGGTTCTCTTGCAGTCCAGTCAGGATCTCTGTGACAGGAAAAGAGCAAAATCTGGAGTAGTTCAATCTTTTACATCCCCAGATAATCAGCTAGGTGAAGTCAGCAAAAGGATACTGCCTGTGAATTATTCCAGGGTAAGATAATCATCCCATAATCAAGCATCCCATCTCTGTGGTTGAAATGCTTTACTCATGTTGAAACACTTTCTAGACCAAGCTGCATGCATTGTTTTAAGCATTCAGCTTGATCTAGCTTGTTTACCTGTCTCTAAAAAAAATTACTCTGTGAACACCTTCCTTTATTCTGGCAGGTATCTGAGTTGTTTTGGGCAGTAAGGACTTGACTGCATGTAGTGTGTGGGTTAGGGACAAGAATATGAGGGGACATTGCTCCTAGGCACATCCCATGTTGTCAGCCTGTAGTCAGATATACTTAGACCTCCCATGTTCAGCAGTTGCCCACTTCTGCTGAGACAGGTACTGGCCAAAGAAGCCCATGGAGGAGACAACTGGTGTCCTTGTGCAGACTGTGTGGTGCACCACATGAATATCTGAAACAGCAGAGATGGGAAGAAATGGTGAAGAACATGAGCATTGCTGAAATTTCTCCTCTTTTAAGTCTTAAAATTATCAAATAGCAACATTCCCAGGTAGCTGCTTCTAGGCACTATATTAATATGATCATTGCCAGCTTCCTGCACTACTCAGTTGAAACCACACATAATATTTACACTTCAAAACACTTACATCCAGAAGTAAGGCCATTTTGTTACATCTCTGCTTATACCCCTGATCACATACCCTAGGGATTATGTTTGACAGCATTATGCTGCAGGATTTACGTTGAGTTTTTGTTTCCCCATGTACCCCTTCTAATGGAGTTAGAACTTGACTGTTTCATTGCTCATGTTATAATTATCAGGAACTTTTCTTTCTGCAATAAAGGACTTTGAGAAACAGACTGTGAGCCAGCCTGAGCTTCGTGTTTCTCATACCCACGTCTGTGTTTGTTATGCAGTAATAGTACAGCTATTTGGCTAATAGCTGGCCATTTATCTGATCAACTCTCCTAAGAATATGAAATACTGTGAAATGTTTCAGAAAGAAAACAAAGTTTTCCAGATAAAGCTTCACACTGTCTCGTTGGAAGGGAAACTTCCAACCCCTTTGGCTATATTTTCTAAGCAAACTAGAAACTGCTATGGAAACTCATGCAATAAGCTGAGTTCTCAGCTGGGTTGTATTGTCATAGAGAAGCATTGCACACTAAAAGCGTTACCTAACGTCAGCAATGAGTGGCATCCAGAATTTCTGTAAGCCCTGAGTTGTGTTGTTTCCATTCCCTATTTGTTAGATAAGACAGCACCAACCCTTCAGCCTGTTGGAATAGTGTGAAAATTGAGTTTATTTAGTGCTTACGGAGCGCCCATGTGTTACAGAGCTGAACACCATAGGAAACCCCATGAAGAAACTATTTTCTCTCTTTCTAAAATAGTCCACTGCAAATAAAACCTGAAAACCAGACAGTAAGCAGTGGAGGAAAAACAACATGTTTACTCATTAGCTTAGCTTTTTCATCCTAATCACACAGCCAGGCATGGGGTCCATGGGAAAAGTTTTCTGGGTAGCCTGTGTAATTTAGAAGTGTGCGGAAGGCTGAATCAGTGTGGTGCAGGCAAACTTATTTCTGCTATTTCCTAGCATTGAACAATTTGACTTTGCAGCATTAATGGAATCATAGAATGTCTCAAGTTGGAAGGGACGCCTAAGGATCATTGAATCCCACTCCCTGCTCCTTGCAGGACTACGTAAAACTAAATCATATGACTAAGTGCATCATCCAGATGCTCCTTGAACTCTGACAGGTTTTGTGCCATGACCACTTCCCTGGGGAGCCTGTTCCAGTGACTGACCACCCTCTTGGTGAAGAACCTTTTCCTAGAGTCCAATCTGAACTTTTTAGTAATGTTGTATTAATATTAATCGTTAAACTGGATAGTATGCTAATGAAGCCAGAAGGTCATTCAAATCAAGCTTACTGCATCCATTAAGCTGTTGCAAGCAATAACAGCAAAACCACCCAATGCAACATTATCTGTCATTTCCTTAACAGGCCATTATAAAACAACTGGCATCTGCCTGCCTGCTGTCAGGGCTGCAAAGGCAGGCAGCCGCCAACATGCAAAATGAAGAAGTACTGCACTTCTTCCATTATCAAGATGAGAGTTCTTTCTGTTATCTTGTTTTTTGACATCTGTGAAGGGATATGGCCTTGAGGAGAGGAGGCAGCCTCTTGGGTCTGTCTGGTCACTGTCACCACTAGACAGCTATGTAAATAGAAACCCCTCTTGAATGAACAGAGGCTGGGAGTTGATGAAAGAGAGTTCATAGGTTGCCACAGTTAGACAGCAAGGGACATTTGAACAACACAGAACCAAGAATGTTCCCAGAGGAAACAGCTGTGAAATTTTTCGTTTGGTTGCGCAGCTGCTCAGAGTTTGTGTTCACTTGATCACTCGCATAAAACTCGAGAACCGCCCAGATTGCCGAGAGGAAAAGGCAAGTAAAGGGGATGCTTCACCCATGAAGCTCTTGCTCTGCTGCTTTGTGTTAAATGGAGGAGAAAATCTAACACAGCATATGAGGATGGCAGCTTTGGATGACTGAAGCTAGATATTTGATTTGGTGGGCAGTGCCATCTTTTGTATTTCTGGAAGTAGAAGCCTACTGAAGATTGCAAGGAAACAAATCCATAAAGAAGCTGAATGTGGAAGTCACTGCTCTGGCATTTGAATAGTACTGGAGTAATATCATGCCATGAGGCATCTCCAAGCATATATTGATTTTCTCCTCATGTTGTTTTCTTTTCATATGAAACCTGTGAAATACTGTCTAAGTCAGATAAGGTGGCATTAGGTCTATAATTTTCTATAAATGTGTGCCCTGATTGGAATCATTATTTTGAAGGTAAAGGATATCTTGTCTTTCAGATATCACAGGAAGCAGTTAAAAGATCAAGTGTCTGAGTGCTGTCATACTCATAACTAGGTTAATAGTAATGTCTGCAGAGCACTAATGTTGTGCTTGGGTCAGAACGTGAAAGGCAGAGAGGCATTTCCTGGGGTGCTTATAGCCTGTGCCCATGGTTCAGGAAGCTAATTCTGCATGTGCTTGTTCCAGTGAGAATGGTACTCATGTAAATTTTAAATGCAAATTTAAAGCAGAACTCATATTTGAGGTGATTTGGGAAATGTGCATAAGGAGACAGAGCCTTGGCTTTCCAAACTGCTGTAGATACGAAAAATAGATCAAATAAATAGTATTTATGATTCCTGTAGCTAAGAGATTCTCAGCTACATGTCTAGAATAGAGTTTATTTCTAGATTCAGATGTCTAAATTTAGGCATTCATATTGCAGCTGCACAACATCAATACGATAGCTCCAGTGATGATCTAGTCAATACTAGGGCCTAGAGAGGTGTTCAGCCCAGTCTAAACTAAACATCTGCATTTGGTCTGCTGATCCATTTTCTACATCCATTGACTACAACGGGAGCAGTGACACCTAGATCACAGAGCAGTCACTTGCTGTATAGGTACCTGGAAGTAAGTATCAGATTCTGGAGCTGAATCCCACTCCTAAAGTTTAATGAGGTGAACTTGTCCACAGTGGCAGAGCATAAAACTTTTCCCTGATAATCTGGAGATGAGGATGTGCTAACCTGGGCCAAGACACTTATTTTATGGAGTAATGAAACACTCGTCCATTCAACAGAAGTATTTCTGTTATTGTGGCATCACCAGTCAAGCAGGATAAGGCTGCTCTAACCTTTTTCATTTGTGTTATTGACATGTTCATAGTCTTTCAATCTTTGGCATGAGGAGGGACTCATCCCTCTACTTTATCTATGCCACCATTGTATCACTAAAGAAAGTTGGTATCCATACCAATGTGGCTCATCACGTGGGCCAGAGGAAGAGATCAGGGCAGTGAATGACACCAGAACCAGATTAAGATTTTCTCTAGCATCTGTGTGTGGCATGGCTTGGTCACTGTTGCCCAACACAGTTCTCTCGTTATGATACTGGTACCTGGAAAGACTACCTTGGAGAACCTGTATGCTGGAACATTCGAAAGCTGTCTTTTAATAAACAGAGGGAACAACTGATGGTCTGAGTTATCCAAGAACTTGGGCTGATCCCCTGACTTGTGTGTTTAGTCATGCGGTATTTCCCATGGTCTGTATTTTGGAGTAACATTCTGATGGTTGTCGTCTTCCCAGTGCTGGTCTGAGGTGCAGTAAGGAAGTGCAACACTGCACTTTTCTTTGTTCAGTGAGTATTAGGTTTCTCAGAATAACAGTGCTATGATGCGAAATGTTTAGTTTTCTATGATACTTCATCACAATGGTATTTCTTAGTAATTCTCCTCTTCTCCCCAAATCTATCATCTCATAGTCTTTTTTATTTTCTTACAGGAGGAGCTGGGCATTGCCTGTGAGTTGCTGGAGTCAGACTTCCTCAAGTGCAGTGTGGGATTTCCTTTCATGAGATCGAAATCTAGGGTAATGTTGTGATATCTACATTTGCAGAGTGATGGTCCATTCACCTCTTTGTCTCCAAGGAGTGGCTGGAAAGGAAACTGCTCTGTTAAATGTCTGTGACTGGTACTTTCTGTAGCTTTCTAACCCAGATATATAAGCCTCACACAGTTACAGCGGGTAGCTGTCCTCTTTCTCACCAGATAGAGCCAATGACAGTGCCCTGTGCACTGCAATACGATGCTGTTGAAAAATTATACAAGAGTTGCAGCTACAAAAAACTTACATATTTCATCTGCAGAAAATAAGAAAACACTCTATCTTATTTATGTTGCCTTGTTCTGTTTTTATTTTTGTCTTCTCTCATGTTAAAGTGCAACTGACCTTGTACAAATTACAATGAAAATATCTTAATGATTTTTTCATATTATGGTCTCCTGGTAGCTTTTAAAGAGGATTGTGTTCGGTAATAGAAGATGAACTCTGTCATAATGTTTAGAAATCCAGCTGGGTTCTTTCTGTCACTAAACTGAGCTGTGCAAATAACAACACAGAAAGGTGAGAAGATGAGGAATAACTTCAGGATTACCTGAAAAAAATGAGGCTGAAATTTTTCAGAAAATTTCAATTTCAAAAACTAATCCTTTCCATTTGAATTGACATAGCTTTTGAACCAACATGAAATGTTTTGGTTTATGTGTTTTACTGACTGTAACATGCTCTTCTGAAGCATTTAAAAATATTTTAAACGGAATGGAAAAACCAAATGCAGTAGCAAAATATTATCTGAAATGTAAGAATTTCAGTTGTTTGCTTCAGAATGACATAGTTGGGTTATCTTCAGGTTTTTTTCAGCAAGCCATTGAAATTAGCATGAATTTGGAAACTGTTTTGGAGTTAGGTAGAAAAATTGTTGCATGGAGAACTTAATATAGTGCTATGGTGGTCATCAAAGTAGATTCTCCTTTCAAAATTAGCACCTGATTTTATCCATTATGCTAGGTGGCCTGAATGCTGCTTTAGCTTGTGCCAGTTGCTCAAAGTCTCTGTGCAGGCCTATGGCGTGATCTTTATTCCCCCAAAAGATCTCTTGACCAGCAAGATTGGTGCTGAGGTAGTTTCAGGTAGTGATCCCCCTATACTGGAAGACTCTTACCCTGGCAGATGATCTCCTCAAGAAATATCTTTGAATGGCAATTCTAGTAAATGCCTTTTCACAATGAAGGAAAAATTGGACTCTCTACTATTTGAAGAGACACACAATTGCTAAGATTTAAAAGCTAATCTCCAGTAGAGGAAGCTCTCTTACACGTATCAAAATATGCTACTTTTTTACAGCTAGACCAGTAAAATATATGTGAAGTTTCAGCATAAATAAATTTTGAAACAATAAGCGGTGTCTCTAAATACTGCTTTTTCTTTGCGCAGTATGAGTTCAGTGTGATCTTTGACACAAGCCACTTGTCTGGGCAGGAAGAAACACTTACCTTCCTTGTCACTGCCCAAAGGTAAGAGAACCATTGTACATCTTGATGACTTTGATATTTTTTGTTGCATGAAGTATGTATTGCATATGCTTGCCAGTTGTGTGGTATTAGTTGTAGACATATGTATGTGTAGTAAATGTGGTTAAATTACTGGGACTAAATGCATGTATTTTGATAATATAGAGGAACCATGTAATACAGCTTCCTGAAACATGAGGTAGGATCATACTTAGGCTTTCTTTGCCAAGCAGTTACAATTCTGCAGGAGTATTTCGTGTTCCCTCAGTCGGAAGGCCCTTGTGTTTCTGTGCCCATCCCTGTGGGCACTGTATCAAGCTCAGCTCAGCTGCGGTTGATGATCAGCACCAGGCAGACCCATTTGTTCCAGCATTTGAATGAAATAAGCATGCTTGGATGCAAACCAAAAAAGATAAATGCTTTCATCAGATGGTCAGGGATCTCACTGACAGTTTCCAAAGTTGCATGTCTATTTTTTTCCCCCCTCTGGATCCTTCAGTGAGCTATGACAAACTGCATGAAACAGCTGAATAGGGTACTTTCCCAAGGGCACTTGCAGCAGGCATTGATTTAGGGTGATGCCAAGTATGCGTGCATAGGGATTTTATCTCAGGCAGAATAAAAGTTGTGACACAGGCTCTGTCCCTTCTAAGATGATATGCCACAAAGAAGCAGACTCCGTGGGTGATTGTCACAGGCACTGTCAGGGTGTGTGGGAACTGACGGTAGCACAGCTACATTAACCTGGGCCATGAACTGCTCCTCCAGTGTCCTGGGTGTGTGACTGCTTCCTGCTTCCACTTGCTGTGTGAGTGAGACAACTTCATACCCTCCCATGTCAAAATCAGGATCTACAGCCTGTATTTTCCTTCCCAATTTGATGACACCTCACTGACCGACTGGAGATGAGAGATGAGATCTAGCAGTTGCCGAGTGGCTGCTCTTATAAGGCATAGTACTCCCCTGCAGTAACAGCTGTAGGTGGGAACAAGGTTCTGCAGTACTTGGGCTGGTATGAAACACTGACAGTGAGACTTCGCATCCGAGAGGCAAGACCATGTATTTTACGTTCAAGAACTTTATTCTCTGTGAGAAGTTCATCGTGTGTTCGGATGACCCTGTGATGCTTCTAGGTCAGGGAGGTGTATCAGTATCTGCTAGGTGAATGTCAGCTGGTGCAAAGATGGGTCAGCACTGCTTTAATTTTGCCTAGCCAGTGTTTTCCAGATTGTACTGCCCATTTTCCAGCCTTGGATAGCACAGGGCTTTCCTCTGTAACCTCACTCCTCAGATTTCTGTGCCCTAAGGAGTGAGAAGGGTTAGTCCGTGCCTTTAGGTGGAGCAAAGACATAAATAGTGGTTTGTACACATAGTGCGAATACTCAGAGGGGTTAAGAGAAGGCTTCTCATTTCAGAAGGATGGGAGGGAGGACAGTTGTGTTTCAAAGGATTCAGCTGAACCTCCAAAGACAGCAGTGCAGGTCCCAGTGCTGACTACCCTCATTTTCTCTGTGACTTTGGGCAATTGCTCATTTCTTTTGCTGTCAAAGTGTAATAAAATCTCTCTACCACAAGAGTTGCAAGGAGCCCTAGGGTAAAGTCAGCGATAAGGAAATAGAGAGGGAGTGTTTGTGCTGTGGCCAGACTGTGCTGAGTGGGGACATTGTTTCCACACAAAACTGGAGCTAGTCTGGCAGAAATGGCTGGACGCAGAGAAGTGTCAAGGGAGAGTAAGTATTGCCCTTCAAGTGGCCACTTAAGCCTGTCCCTTGAAGCTGCAAATCTAGCAGTTGCCTCTGTAACAAGAGACTGGTTCAATAGTGGAAGAAATCAATTGGTGAAATAATTAAACATTACGTTACATTTACTCTTTGTGTTTAAAAAAAACCCCAAACCCTCTACTGTGCTTCTTGGCATGAACAGTTTTTCTAGACCTAGATTCACTGAGCTATATTCTGCTTTTCTGACAGTACCTTTGCTCCATTTGAAACAGATAAGCACATACCCATGAACCTTGTATGGAATTCTACTTGCTTATTCTGCTTGCCGCCATGGTATCTTGGTATTTGTGTTGGATGAGAAATGTCTCCATCTTGGACTCTTCTCTGGGCCTATTCAGAGGAAAAGCTTTTATTAAGCTTGTTTTTTCCTGGGACTGAAAGTTTGTGGGTTTTTCCATCTGGGCCATAGTTTTATTAGCAGGCATGGCCAATGTGTTGGTTGCAGAAAGCTGAGCTGTATCTGTGCATGTATGTAGCCAGCAGGCTCTGTTTTTGTAATCTGAGCAACTCATCATCTGCATGGTATCACTTTGGATGTTACTGCCTGCTGTTGCCTCAGTGATACTGTCCTTAAATAAATAACAATCACATCTTTTGTTTTGCCAGTTTGATTTGTGAGTAAATCCAATAAACTGCAAGGCAAAAGAGATTCCAGAGTCACTGCTGAAGAAATTGGGAATATATATATCTTTCAAGATTGTTCTTGTGTCATCCACCAAGCAGACTCACCATTAGAATTAGAATAATTACAAGTTTGCATGTTGGACATGCATTTCAGGAACCTTTCCCAGACTTCATACAAAAGTGTTCACACTGAAATAAACTGACTCAAATGAGAAATGATTGCTCACTTTTCTCTTTCCTCCTTCTGCTTTTGACCATTTGAGGCAACTGCCTTTGAAAATACAAAGTAGAAGTGCTTTCATTTTGGCAACTGAGTACAGGAAGAGAGGGTGGAACTCCTGAGAGTTTACGGCCGGTTCAGTATGAGGGGCTTACCCAAAAAGTTGCTTGTAGTGGCACCAAATTGGTGCTGTGGTACAATGCAGGTACGGTGAAAGCGCAGTTTCATTTACGGAGTCAAGACCCCCTGTGGGGTGTGTGTATCCCTCCCAAACTGACATACAGTCCGGCTGGGAGAAAATGAACCCTTGCACTGGAGTCTAAATGTCCTTGTCTCTCTCCACTGTGAATGATGGTTGCTGTAGTTTCACGCTGCCGTTTGAATTCACACCTTGCTCCAAAACAAGTTTTTTCAGTGTGAGCCTGATCATGTCACAGCCACAGAGAAGCAGCCGCAAAACATGTTTTACATGTTTTTCACATGTGTGCCCTCTCCAAGGTGGGTGAACAAATGTAACTCATAATCTTTTAAGAGGCTTCTTAAGGAGAGCTGACATCACTCAAATAGAGAGGCTCAGACTACAAGGCAGAGAGAAGGTAGCTCTGAAACTGTATGATATATTGCAAAAGCTGTCACTTTACAGCGTGTTTATTCTTTCTTTCTGGCACAGTGGAAACCTAGAACGCACTGAATCTCTTCATGATAATACTCTAACCCTGTCAGTCCCCCTGATGCATGAAGTAGACTCATCTATCAATGGGTAAGTACCAGTCACAAAATGAAAACAACAAAATGATAATAATCCTAACAATAACATCTGAGTCTCTTCCAGTGAAAAACTGAATTCTTTGTTTACATGTAGCCGGACTGTTGCTTTTTCCTTGTTTCCCAGACTCTGGAAATACAGACAACCTCATTCATCATCTGGAAATTTTATTTGTCGTGCCTTTCATTCCAACACTGTATCTCTTTCTCACTCCTTTCTAGCTAATGCTAATTAGTTACCATGACATTTATTGTAGGTATTTTAGTGATGATATCCAAATTCATTCATGTGATGCTGTAGGTATGATGGACCTTAAAATAAAATAAAAAGAGAACAAGTAAATCACATCTTGTTCCTTAGGGCATGTCTTTAAGGATATGGTTGAGAATCACCAGGCCAAAGGTTAGGGTCAAATGTTCTGGGATTTTAAGGAGCTTGGTGGAGTCTAGCTGTTTGCCTTTGTGTTTAATTTCACCATCAGAATTCGCTTCTGCTTCTGTTCATTTTCCCACTCCCTCTGCTCCTTAGTCTGCGAGGTGTCTGAATACCAACTGAGGAATATCACTCACTCAGGAGTGAGTGATATTCATTCAGTCAGGAATATCACTGACTGAAATACTTGTATAACACATAGCTGTTGTCCTCTCCCTGGGGCTGCACATCTGTGAGTTCCTGCCTTTGTACTCAGGGGCCTTCCCTTCCACTTCTGCATTACAGTCCTAAGTCTAGAATGAAAGATTTGTGGTCAGTCCCAACAGACAGACCATCCTCTAGCATAGACAGTGCTCGAATTGGAATTGGGGGACCTGGTCACTGGAGGGGAATTAGCATCCACGTACACTGAGAAAGTTGACATTCATTCTGAGACTGTGGAAACAAAAACTCATTAGCAGCGTCCCCAAGAGGTCAGTGTCTGTTTTAGCCACCATTTATGGCAACGCCAGGGAATATGTATTGCCTAAATGACCAGTACAGGTTGGTATCAATAGAAGTCGAAGATTGCCTAGACCAGCATGCTACATGCGTAGGAGCAAAGTTATCTGTACTGACATGTGATTTATCTGAAAAGCTGGATAAACTCAGATTCGTGGCCTAGTCTGGCTTTCACCACAGCTGATTTCCCCACTTGTTGCATCGAGATAAAATCCCTTAATTATTGCTACAATAGACAGATTGGGTAGAAGATATGCTTGAGCCTGCTCAGAGGAGTGAAGAGCACTATCGGACCTCACAAGATGTCTAGCAAGGACAAAAATCTCCTCTGTATTGAGAGTACAGGCTCAGCAGTGTGTTCTGGAAGTTCTTGAATGCTTTCATTGTTACAGATTGTGTAGACATTTAACTCTGTATCCCTTACGTCTTGATGCTTTGATACAGATGTATTTTTATACAGGTTTACAGATATGAATGCTTTCATCTGTGTCTTTAGATCTCTGTTTGTCACCTACAGAATTCTGCATGCCATGTTAAAAATTGGGCTTCTTTCTCTTCAGAATGTACTTTTCTAAAGCACAAGGTCTCTGAATTTATAAACCCCACCCAATTGACTATGTGGATTATTTTTTTTATTCTCTCATAGGCAAAGCTTAGTTAATGCAAGTTCAAAGAAATGTCCAACTACCAGGGAAAAGTTGGGTTTATTGGAGGGCAAAACATTCCCAGGCATGGTAATATTAGTAATACTCTTTTTTGGACAGTGTATTTTTAACGCTTATTTTTATTAGCTGTCCTGCATTTGAGTCTACGAGAGCAAACTTCATCCCTGGTAATAAATAGCCCGGAAGGGCTTGTGCCATGTTTGGGAGGAGCCTTCTGGCACAACACCGTAAATGGGAGGAATAAATCTCTCTCTCACTGTTTCCCCTAGCAATACCCAGCATAGGATGCAGGCAGGAAAAAAAGGAAATGTTTCTGAACAGGCTTAAAATCCTCTCTCAAAAACTCTGACCCAAAGGGACAGGCTGGGGAGGTAGCAGATTTCAGCCAGTCCCTCACCAAGTTTTGTCTGAAATTACACCAGGGCACTTTCCAGACGATGGAGCAGCCTGAGATTAGAACGAGGCACAAAGGATGCTTAAAGCAGTCCTAGTCCTCTTCTGCAGGATTTCCAGGTACTGTGTTGTGCTTCCAAGCCTTTTCTGATAAAACCCTACTGCATTTTACTTTGTAATAAGATGATAAAAGTAGTTCAGGAGGACTTGGCCTGTGCCACTGTAGTTGAAAGCAAGTTATATCTCCCTCTACTCTTCCCTTTAACCATCTGCTAGTCATAAAGGTAGTGAAACTCAGATAATTAATGAAGTGTTTATTCCTGCAATGCTATGTAAAGTGGTAGATAAAATTGAGATGTTACTTTAATGAATATGTGACTGAAAGTATTCCTATTAGTAACTGTTTCTTCAGATTAACTTGGTAGTGCAATGATTTCCTGTGTTACGCAAGCTATAGGACTTGCACGAATCATCCATGGCAGGGGGCCCTGGAGAAGAGGTTTTGTGATAAGAAAGGAGAAAAAGAGGTAAGATAAGTAATCAGAAGAAGCCTGCTTCAATGACAGGATCTTAACCCGGGTCACTTGAGATGCTGCTTGTGTAGTCTAGTGTTGTCAAGACAAAATCAAATCACAAATAATAGATTAATGTAAAATGGTCCTGTAAAATTTCACATGACCAGAAACCAAGGGGTGCAATTCAGCTTGCCACAAATATTTTGGTGACAAACACAGCTTATTAAATCTGTGTCTTGATCTTTCAGAGAAGTCTTCCCTACTTCATTTTTCTACGGTGATTCTGTGGAAGCATCCAACTTTGTTCAGCTGGAAAAGCACGAATGCCTTTTCCAGTCTCTCAACTTCACACTGCAGGTAAAACTGATCCTTATTTTGACTGGTTTCTTGCTTGACAGCACATTCTGGTTTTGTATCCTTTCTATTCTGAGTGTGGTATGGGCTTTGGTGCATGTTTCTCAATCACAGTATGCTGTGCGGTATGTTCTTGATTGGATGCCATATTTACAGCATGCGGGGATGGTATATTTCCTTATCTGAATATATGGTAACAAGAATTGCAAATAGGGCATCTCACTTCCATAGGAATGAAGCTACCATTTGTTTATCTTTTCCCTTTCATCACATGCTGAGTAAAGAGCTCTAGATACTCAAGTGCCACATCTTGGATGCAGTCACAGGTTTAAAAGAGAAGAGTAATTCTTTTTAGTGGCATGGTCATTGATCGGAGAGGAGTGGGCAGCCTTTATCCGTGAGAACAAACGCATACCTGTGCAAGGGATTTAGACCTGCTAAATGCCCCCAGTATGAAAATGTTCATAGCACTACAGATAAGAGTACAGTACAGGGAAGAGAGACAGGTGTGAAAAGGTTTCATTAAATGTCTCGTAGCATCTCAGTGTTACTTCAGTACTATCCATAGATTACCCTTCAGATGGCAGTTAGATGGGTTCCTGATCTGGCAAGATACATGGATGATTTATTGTAACAAACTCGTGTGATATGGCCAAAAAGAACTTGTCTCTATTACAAGGACTTCAAATCCTTTTTGACCACTAGATGGAACTAGGGAATGATAAATCACACAGGAGGTGGGGGAATAATTTATTGTGAAAAATAGTCTTTTGCCGTTTTTTTCCCCTTTCTGTTCTCCTAGGCATGAATGCCACTTAGCTCATAATGAATAACACATGTCTGCCTCTGTGGACAGACTGTGGTCCAGAGCAATTAAGCCCCTACTGTCATGCAGTGCCCTTAGCTATTTACTGAAAAGGAGTGAAAGCAGGATTTCAGGACATTAAAGCTTTTGTGAACCAGGCTATTAATTCTTGTGATTCTGATTTCATTCTTGAGGGTTTATAGGTCTTCCCCGCTCCCTCGCCCCATAACCAGTTATTGGTTAAAAGCAGATAAAGAACAGATGTACTGATGCTTTAACTAGATGAATATTTTCAATAAAACAAAGTGATAACAGGTAAGGGAGGGAGAATCTATGTATTGGCAGAGCCACCATTTGTCCTGCCCCGTCCTCATGCACACACTTACAAGTTTCAATGTTAGGGTTTTTTTCCATATAGAAGTAGAAAATTATACTGTAACAAATCACAGATCTGCTCTCCACTAACACAGTAAACCTCATAACTGTGTGTGTCAGAGAGAAAAAGGGTAGAGTTTCATAATGGGCAAAGCATGGTTTGTATCACTGTTTGCTTAATTGTTTTTAATGATTTGCCTGCCATTTATTAAACTTCTCCAGATGGAGAAAAGTAATAATTTCTTAACCAAGAAAAAGAGGTGCTTTACAAAATTATGGGACTTTATAGCGGTTTTTATATGTGAAAATCTATACCATGTCCAATGTCAATACGGAAACAGATATCCGCATATTTTTTTTTCAGTAACAAGATGTGCAATGAAAAGGTCTTTTCTGCATTAACTCTTATATCTGATCTCAATGAGATAATCAAGTTTTTTTAAATGTCTAATATGAAACATTATGTTTGTATTTCATGCAGCATTTATCATGCTGCATTGTAGTGGGTTATCTCCCCCTGCCTGGAGCCTCAGGGTTTTTGTAAGGATTTGGCATTGTGAACCAATTCTCTTTATCAGCTAGGCATTTCTTCAAATATAAACAGTGTTTGAAGAATGAAAACCTGTTGGTTTTAATATTTGTACTTTGCACAATTAACAACTGATTGCTACATCTTTTGACAGTATTGTCTCAGTGCAGATAAATATTCTAATGGGCTTGATATTTTTACTGCATGCACTTACATATGTGGTGTTGGAAACAACCAGGAAATATTTTTCCTAATAAAAAAATGTAGATAGACATGAAAGCTTATTTTCATTGAAATTTTTCCATGGATTGTTTCTTTTCAGCAAAAACCCACAAATTTTTGATTTTTCGCTGGATATGTTTCAGTGGTGGACTGGAAATTCTTGGAGTTTTTGTTGAAAATTTGTGGGGGGGTTGATAGAAAGCCAATGTTTTCCACTAAGAGTTTCATTTAATTGGAAACCCCGGAACTTGAATGGAAGTTGTTCACATGCATTTCCTGGCAGCTCACTCAGCAAAACCCACAGTCCAGTAGTCACAATCATCATTACTTTGGCTTCTGCTCCATAAGGAAAACATATGCTGAATATAATGCAGTGGTTACCAGACGGAAATAAGAACGTTAACTGAGACAGCAATAGTTCTTAGGGTTCTGCCGATGGTATTACCAAAACACTCAAAGAGTACTAGCAGTGTGTCTCTATATAAGGTAGCAGTCTCACTCTGTTTGTATCGATGACTGGTAATTATCCTGCAAAACTGCTTCTCACTTGATACATGAGCTGTGCCTAAAGACTGTTAGATAAGCTAAACCTTTTACTTCATCCTGATACTTACAAAAGAAGTCTTCATCTGAAGACACTGAAAAACTTGCATAGTATTTGAAAGTTTTCAAATATACCTATATCTCAGCTTTGGTTCTGCAGTAGCTTCCCATTTATGAGTAGTCATACATGTAATTTTATTTTTATTTATTTTTATACGTTTATATGCATCTTTGTCTTACAGGTCTACAATGCCGGACCAAGCACTCTCCCTGGGGCTTTTCTTGACATTTCATTTCCAAACCGCCTCTCTGCCACTGGAGCTGAAATATTTCATGTTCAGCAGATGATGGTGAGTACATTAAGATGTGTGCTGAGCCCAGAGAGGCACTGAGAGCTATCAATGACTGAAACAAAAAAAAGTCCAGCAGAACTAAATGAATCAGTTGCTTTTTTAGACAATAAAAGGTTCCTTGTGTCTGTGGCCAGATCGTCTTAAGTAGCTGAGCCCCTCCAGCTTTGGACTGCTGTCCCTCACCTAGGGCAAGCAGCCGGTTGTGTGTTCCTGACTTCCTACAGTGCAGTGTAAAACTAGGTCAGGCTAATCCTGAAGGAAATGTGGAGAACACTTCCCTGAGTCACACCTCCAAAGAGGTTTGAGTCTTAATCAGTCCTCCCTGATTAAATGGTATATGTAATATCATCAGCAGGATGTGTTAACAAGTTGACTCACATTCCCTGTTTTTTTCTGTGGTTATCTGCAAAAATGCTAGCTAGGTCTGAATACATTACCAATATCTATTTTTCTACAGTCCATGTTATAATTTTCTCTTTTAGAGTGTTCTTTTAACAAATGTAAGTAACAGAGAAATTTATACTTTCAACACAATGTTTTTCAAAAGATGATTTTGTGTCAACTATAAAGAAAATCAAAATAAATTTTGGTAGAGGAGCCACATTCTTAGATTTCATTTCTAATATTTATTTATTACCCTCAAAGCTTTTGTTAAACCACAAAAATACCATCATTAATACTGTAGTGGCCAAGTGAGGGAAACCTCACGATTGAGGTAAATTTATTGCTGAAATTCAGAGTAATCCATCTTTGTGAGATGGAACCAGCTCTTTGGGCTACTTGAAAAGAAGTATTATACCTTCTTTGTTGTTAGCTACTTTTATAGCTTTTTGGCTGAAAAATACTACCATCCCTTATATGCAGGTAACTGTGTCACTAAATCTGTGTAAGTATAGACCCAGTAAGACATTTCTAAGCAAGTTTCTAAGACTTGTGCTGTTGAAAGGTATGAGGTATGTATATGGCTTACAGATAGGCAATAAAGGCAGAAACAGATTTGGGATCTTGTACGAGGCACCAATATTGTATAGACTGAGACAATTCTCCAACTAGACCAAACTAAATCTCCAGCCTATGTCTCATTTTCCATGACATTGCATTTTAATGTTCTATTCAGTCCAGTTTTATATGTGGAAGATCACCTTCTCTTCGACACTTTGCCTGTTAAAGGATTGTGACCTGTTTCCTTGTCCCTTCCCTGGTCTCTGTGGGAAGAGGGTGTGTGTCTGTGTTCACAGCAGCAGCAGAGAGGTGGGGTTCTCCCTAACAGATGTTGTCTGCCCAAACATTTGTGTCTCCTCTAAAGTCAGTCATCCTATGTACTCCTAATATAGCCAAGAGAGAGGAATAGAAAACTCAGCCCATCTAACTTACAGTGTGATGAATTCCTTCTAGGCATTGCTTGTTTCTCTGCGTTGACTCTTCCAGAAGTCTGGGCAAGTTGTCTTAGACAAGACACCTGTTTTGCATGCTTGAATTAGCTGAAGTGTACACTACCCACCAAGTGGGCAAGGGCTAATTTCCAGGCATAGTTTGTCGTAATTTCTACACAAGACCCTAAGTTACACTGACAGGGATGGGATGGACTATATGGTTTTGAATAGCTGTTAGAAAAACAAAGCAAAAACATTAAATCTTGTGCTTAATTTGTTTTTCTTTGCTATCGTACCTCTGATGGCTTACTTAAAGGAGGTCCAGCTGGGTGATGTGGTATTGGGCACTGCGCTAATAAATACTTGCAGGGTTTGTATCCCTTTTCCCCAGCAACAGTTTGCATTTCCTCCCACATTATTTTATGTCCTTCTTCTACCTTGCAGTTTGTCTTTGTAGAAATTTCAAGCCGCTGTTGTGAGACCTATTTGCTTTGCAGGCTGAGGCGTAGTAGTAGGCAAATATGGTTTTATGAGAGATGTCTGCGTGATACACTGGCATACCTTGGGTCTTTTCAACTACTGATTTTGGGTATATGGTCAGTGAGAGTCTAGTACATGAATTTTTGAGCACCTCTGACATGTTAATAAATGTTATCCAAGCAAATCCTGTCTGGGATAGTGGTTATCCCTGCTTTACCAATAAATAATTGAAACACCAAATGGTTTGCCTGAGGTCACACAGGAAATTTGTGTCAGAGCCAAGCACTGAACCCATGTCTCCCAAGTCTTGCTATCGTAACAGGAAAAGCATCCTACTCTCTTTCCTCCTGCCTCTCTCCCACTGAGTTTTTATTGACTGAAAAGGGAACTAAAGTAATAGAGCTTTTCATCTTTTCACAGACCAAATACACTTAAACAAACAAACAAACAAAAACAGCAGACTGGAATGAACTTTTGAAAAAGGATTAGAACAGCTGTTTTTCAAGAGCATTTTTGTAAGCATAGTCATTAAAGATTTCAAGCTTTTGCTTATTTTGAACTTTCCAGAATCTAGACTGCAATAAAGGTGATAGTATCCTTTCAGACAGTGCAGGTGTTTCTGTAATTATACCTTTATACCTCTAATCCAGCCATTCTAGATGTCAGCAGTGCCGGACCTTTCAGAATAGCTGTCATTAATACAGAAGATTAGGAATTGTCATTTATCTGTAACTGAAACTGTTGATAACAGCATTTGGGATTTGATGACATCATGGTTTTGTTTTTTAAAAGCTAATAATGCTGTTGTCACTTCTATGATGTACAGTAGAGCACTGAAATCTATAGGTGAAAATGCATAGTAAAACCACTAGTTTGTGTCTCAAATACACACATACCACCCAAGATAGTGCCAGGAGCTAATTCCTTCATATTGTGTTGACTGATCCAGTCTTTCAGGCACAAAAAATAATAAAAGGAATAGAGTCACATATGGCCCGCTGGAACGGGCTGTGTCTCTGGGAGGTGTTAATAGGAATCATTATCTTGCTGCTCTTAGAGGAAATGACAGCCCTCATGCTTCCTCTGTTCCTGTTGCTCTAAGCTTTTGGCTTTATTGCAGAAACTGCTTTAAGATTTTCTTCCAGAGAAATTCAGGTCACAGAGATGTTTTGACATTTGGAGTTCTGCCTTAGAGATGTTCAAATGCTCTTCAAGGGGTCTTGGGACTTTCTGCAGCACTTCCCCCAGCAAAACCCCTAGTATATAAAGGAAGCAAGTCAACAGTAAAAGCCAGAACTAAAAGAAAATGCATAATTGAAAGAAAACTAGAAAAAAGCCAAGTGAACTTGCTCCCTATCGGAAAATTAAACTAAAAGGAAACACTAGAAATTTTACAAGTCATTTTAACTAGGGAATTTCACTATTGATGTTGACTTTACATAGTAGATACTCAAATTCTGCAGTGGTAAATGATATTTTGGAAGCAGATAAAACAGATCAGTAGTTGTTTATTTTTAAGTATTTTTGTATTTTCTTTCTTGCAGAGGTTTCAAGCCAGGTTGTAAACATAATAAATTAAATACCTCAGCTTGTTGGTCAAAAGTGTTGTGATAGGACCAGTATAGGTGATGATACAGAAGAGCTTCACCCAAACAGAGTACAGTAGAGTAAGTGTTAACAGAAATGTATATTCTCCATTCTTCAAGCTGTTGATTATCTATTCTTCCACAAAGGAAAACGGTGCTCATTATACTTGTGTGTGTTTTGGTTTTGAACTGAAAGATTAGTAATTTCCTTTGGGTAGCCAGCTAATTTGGAGGGCAAGGGAAACACTACTTGACTTGCCAGCCAAGGAGCTGCTTTCTGGGGCATCCAAAAAGATTTTCACAATGGGAGTTCCTACCAAATTAACCAGGGTATTTCCTGAAGCTGTTGATAAATTAGCAATGTGTCCAGGATTACTCTGATGCTGGCTTTATGGAACTGGATCAGATTGTTGCCTTCCTATTTATTTTATTTTCAGCAAAGGTAAACACAATTATGAGGAACAAGGGACTAACAGTTGGAAACCGAGTTTGCCTGTTTGAACTGGAAGCCAGCTGCAGTGCAAGCAGGTGATCCTCACCTCTCCTCTGGAGGGACCAAGCTCTGCAGGGCTGCCAAGTTATTTAGACTCCAGTCAGCCAGTTGCCACCAGAATCAAAGATGCACGGAGTTAACCCGGAGCAAGTGCCCTGTGCACTTGTGGGTTTTTGGAATGAGCTATTGCTGCTTCTATTGCATGCATCGTGCAGGCCAGCAAGCATTGATTTGTTTTTTCTTAAGAGCCTGTTTAGGTGAATCAATAACAAGACTATGAAGAACCATATTGTTGTCATTGCTGAGGTCAGTATCTTGTTGGAAAGTGAGGTGCACACGTTGCAAGACAGACTCTTCAAAGAGTTTGCAGTCTAGGCAGTGAAATAAAGGGAAATTTGGAGAAAGGGGAGAGAAGGAAAGAAATACTGTCCTCAGTTTTCCAATGAGAAACTCCCTCCCTGCATGTAACTTTTGATACCTAAGTGTAGTAATTACTGTTCTAGTAATTGCCAGTAATAGAATATTTTGAAATTACTCTGTTTTCTTACTCAATTAATGGAGAGAGAGAGAGAGGCATAGAAACAACACTGGAGAAGCACTTGCCAGTCTCCACTGACAGTACAAAAGCCATCTACTTTACCTAGGCATCTAAGCTTAGACTTTGAGAATTATCTCCAGGGAGTGAAAAATGGATTAAACCTCAGTCTTGTGAATCCTTGCTCCCATTAACCTTGAGTGTGCCAGTTAAGCCCCTAGTTCCTGGTCCAGCATTCCCATCACTTTTTGGTTAGAGGGCAAAACAAAAAGTCCTTCTGTTGGACAAACAGAAGTCCTCCACTTGTCCTATTATGCTTGGCATATTCACTTCACACTTCTCCTTTCTTCTGGTTGAGCAGGTGAGACCTGGATTGTGCCTTTTTGAAAGCCGGCTATCCATAAGGTTTAAAAAATAAAGAAAAGCTGAACTGGAAATGAATTAACAGCATGGAGGAGTTGAAGAGAATTCCTTTTCCAAAGTGCCTTTTAAGTTAATGGCTGCCTGAGCATGGGGCTGTAGAAAAGCTT